CACCATCGATCAGTTCTACGATCTCAGGCGTGGTAGGCTTTCCCTCCTTGAGTACATGGCGGAGTTCGAGCACACTTACGAAGAAGCCAACCCCCTGGGCAATCTTAATCTCAACAACGTCGCCCTCAGCCATCAGCTCCTCAAGCACAGCGGCATAGAGAAATCTAAGTTGGATCACGTACTCTTGCTCGTGAACGGCGACCTCGACAGGCACGACGACATCAAGGATCATCTCATGCGCCTCGCCAAGAGTCAGACACCGGCACAGATCGCAGGCATCGGCGGTTATCATGCAGACGGCACTGATCGCTATGAAGACTCCTGGTACGACGACGGCTGGTACGACGATGGCTGGCAAGATGACTCTTGGTATGAAGACCCCTGGGACGAAGGCACCTGGTACGGAGACACTTGGTACGATGACAGCTGGCAAGATGACTCATGGTACGACGACAACTGGGACGAAGAGCAGCAGGATAATGCGACGGTTGCTGGCAGCACGGCTTCACCACCTTCTTCGTCTCAGCCTGCAGCGTCAACAGTCGACCTCGAGACTCTCCCCTCGGACGTGCACTTCGGCAAGAATCGCAATAAAGGCAAATCTTGTGGTCGCAGCAAGGGCAAGTCACGGAGCAAGGGCAAGAAAGGTAAGAGCAGTGGCGGAGGACGTTCCAACCGCACAGGCTGTGGTCGCTGTGGAAGCCCCAATCATGATACGACGGGCTGCCCTTGGAGCCAGGGCCGCGGTGGCGACAGCAAAGGCAAAGGCAAGTCTAGCAGCAAGGGCAAGAAGAGTCGCTCCGGTTCCCGAGGTGGCAAGAAGGGGCGCCGAAGCGGCAAGGGCTACTACACCGAGGACGACCCCTGGAGTTATGGAGCAGATCCCTGGACTTCAGGACTTGTCGGAGGAACCCAGCGAGCAGGTATCTTGGTTTCAGGCGTCTCTAGCGGTCAAGGCTCGTTCGAGTACATCGCTACGCCTCCTCAACCTCAAGCATCCGCGGCACAAGATCCAGTACCAGCACCTGCAGCTGAACAGTCCTTCGCGGCCGTGGTAGACGACCTCCTGAGGGACCTGAACCCTATATGGCAGCCTGGTGACGGCTTCTCTGACATTGGCACGGTCGAGACAG